GATTTCGATTCCATTTCGATTTATCGTGCAGCCCTATTATATCATTTGCTCACCAAGGGATACTCTGCAGTGAATGGGTGCCATCAGAATGAGAGTCCAAACAGCTGATAAAAACATCACAATAATCCACAAGCAATCCACACAACTCAAATCCATCAGTTAATGTGTTGTGATGTGAAAAGCTGTATGTTCACTGCAGAGGATCGATTGGTGAGCAAGTGATGTACTGCTACATTTCTCCAAATCTGTTCCCATGAAGAAACAAACTCATCTACATCTTGGATGGCCTGAGGGTGAGGAAATGTTCATTTTTGGGTGAACTATTTTTTAAGCAGGTTTTAAATTCAACAGAATTCTTTATCATGTGATTTGTTATTTCAACTATTAAAGGTGCAATAGGTGATTGTCTTCAGAAATTTTTTTTGTTATGCTGGTTGAAAGTCTCTTCACATCCCGATAGCAATCATTAAGTTAAGTGGTCTAAATGTATTTGTCTGTATTTACATATTCTGTGGAAGGCGTAGGATCAAGAAATGTTCGTTCAATCAAAACGTTATATTTTAATTCGCTTTCCTACCTGCCTGTGAACGTATGTATCTGCATACATCTACGCACCCTGTTCGCGCAGACAAGATACGTCATCAGCGCGTTGAGTAATGTTGTCTCTGGTATTCTGGTCTGTGAGCGTATGCGTTCAGGGGGCGTGGCTTTGGACAGCGATTGCAGGGAGGGTGGGACGTTCGCTTTCAGTGCTATCAGGCTAAAGTTAGCATTTTCCAAGATCTCCTACTGCACCTTTAAGGACTTTTAAGTTATGTGTTATAAACCCAAAGCTGTAGAAACATTTTTCATTGATGTTTTTTTTTTAGTTAGCTTAAGTAGGCATGGGCCGGTATGAGATTTTGACTTCCAGTCTATCGCTTGTCGTTTGTCGGAGATAGTGGAAAGGCGGCTTAAGTCTTTAAAGCTATATTTGCTTAGCCTGCTTAGCCTACACACTATGCAAATGTTCAGTTGTTCAATTGTATGTTTTTGTCTCGTCAGGCATTACAAATGTCTATGTCTTCAGGGTACTAGATGGCCTCATCAGCCGCTCTGAATTGTTCAAAACAGCAGGACGTTAAAAACTCACATAAGACGTGACGCAACCGCCAAAAACATGAATCGGAATGTCAGTGGCTATAGCAACGGTGCTTTAAATGTGATGAATTTCATGATGCAGCTGTTGCAAGAGAGTTTTGCCACACAAACTATATAAGCTATATAGGATACAGCATCCCGTTAGCATGCTAATTAAAACACTAGTTAAAATCAGCACTAAAAATATACATGTAGATAAACTAGTTGACCAAACTAATCGACAACTAGTCATCTGTCATGACCTATAACTCGTAAAAAGTATGCCTGTTCGGAACATGATTATGGGAAGTCATACTTTTTACTAGCCAGAAAAAAAGTTGGCAGCCTGTTCTAGAAGTTAGCTTGTTTCTGCAAGTTTTGTACAACTAATCCTGAGAAAGGAGGGTTGTTGTAGAATTGATCATCTATAGGTGGCGATGCCAAGGAATTCTGCACCAGATGGCAAAACCATACTGCATCTGGCTTTGTTATGAAATGTTGATGCACTTTTTACAAACAATGTGTCCTATGGTCATTTAACCGTTGTGGTTAATGGCTTTACGCTACTGGATTGCTTTGAGCAGAGGGTGTTTTTTGATTCTAGATTTTTTTAGTCTCCCTCTACGAGATATTTGTGGTTTCTGGAGAGAAATCAAACCACAGTCGTTCTGGCATGGGTTTGAATCGTCTGGCTGGTGAACATGCTGCATGGGTGGGCCTGAGTACTCTTAGACTTCCATGCATTCTGACGCCACGTTGATCTGTCATGCATATTGTTAAGCCCCATAAATTGCATCGAAAGTACATTTATGACTTATGATCAGGCGTAATTATTGGTTTGTGGTGCTCCACATCAGCAGAACTAAAGCAGGCAATTGAAAATAAGATTGGGTTTAAAAAGGCTAGAGAGCTTCTACCGAAGTTGAGGCTCCATCAGATATGATATGACATGCTAATGTTTTCAGTGGCTGAAAACATGTCTGGTTTTTCAGTTTGATCTCACTTAGTCCCAGAGTATGGTTGCTAAAACAAGCCAGTAAAAACACCATTTCCCAACATCCTCTTAAAAAGCGATTCCCATGTAAGGCAGTAGCCATTACAGGAGCAACTTGATTATTCACCCTGCAGATGAGGCTGTGACAGACTCCATTAGCAGTAGAGGATGTGATGAGTCAAGTCTTTAGCACTGCTCTGTAATTCCTCGCTGGATGACGGCAGGTTATAAGTACCAGGTTGGTTAAAGCAAATTAAGTTCTTTCAAGAAACCATAGGTAATATTAATGGCATATTAATACTTTACAGCCTTATCAGAATCATGTGGTGCAACCTACAAAGTCATATGGTGCAACCAATATAAAGGAAAAAAAGGAAATGATATAGAGAGAACCCCTAGTTTGACATTTTTATAACAGGACAAAGTTCGTTCAGGGTGTGAAATGTTATGTCATGTGGTGCGACTCCCGAAAACTCGATATGATATATATGAATTAATAATCCATGATTTTTGTAAAAACACTTTTTACCTCGAGAAATTTCTTTTCGGAGAATAAATATTAAGATGCTTACACTCACATGCATTCAAGGTGTAGGGAAAATATGTTATTACATTTTACTTGATAGTCACACCATATGACATACTTAGATTAATCACATTGAAACTTTTCTTGAAAATTGTATAAAAGTTTTTCAAACCCATATGAAACCAAAATGAATGCAAACAAAAAGCTTTTCTAAGAACTTTATTTTTTCTTGGACACGTTTATTTGTAATTGACCCCATTATATTTGACTTGTGTGTAGTGTGATATGACTATCTTGATGTTACAACATAATTAAAATGATTGTATGAAGCAAAACTAATTTTGACCAAACAAGCATGATGCTTATTTGTTCAACGCATACTCTGTACACAACACTAGCATAGGCAGTGAAACAGTGATGTAATATTTGAACATTAAGGAACAGGAATGGAGAGCCATAAAACAGTACAAATATAGTGCTTTATAAACAAGAATGCTGTGTTTTTGCTTTAGAAATGATCAAGTACTCTGTGCAGTTGTTTAATGGTTTTAAGCCACATAACGTTGCCTAATACTTGGCATAGGTCTTTAGCTCTCTTAGGGAAAAGGTGCCATTTGCTCCCCTGCAGTTTGCAGAGGAAAGATTGAGGCCAAAGTAAACCTAGCCTGGCCAACACTTTTAGTACTTGTTTTTCTCTCACCACAAATTAGGTCTTTGCACTTGGGTTGGTTTTTCTCTGAACTGTCGCTCAAGCAAACAGTCCTGCTCCTGAGGGAACTATTTGGTAAAACACCTCAGGGTTCTGCCACCTTCTCATCTGGTCATTCTCCTGTTCAGATGTTTGGATCTCATTCCACAAGGTGGACTAGGGTAATAATTCTCACAACAGTGACTCTCATGGGCCTTGGACTACAGAAGATATTGCTCAAGCCAGATGGGAACATCTGGCAACTGTCGTTTGTTCTCAACTCTGGATTTTCTCCAACTCCTGTGGCCCATTTTCCCATGTTCCAAGATTTGGGGATTGGGAACAGCTCACTGCATTAAACAGGACAGCTACACACCCTCACTAACAGATGCTGTACAGCTGATGGGAGGCATCTGATCCTGTCATCCAGTGCAGCTGAAGACTCTTCCTCTACACCAGGGGTGGGCAAACTTGGCCCTTCCAGGTCACTTTCCTTCAGAGTTTAGCTCCAACTCTAATCAAACACACCTGAACCAGCTAATCATTGTCTTCAAGACTACTAGAAAGCTACAGGCAGGTGAGTTTTATCAGGGTTGGATCAAATCTCTGCAGGAAAGTGGCCTGGAAGGGCCAAGTTTGCCCGTCACTGCTCTACACCATCTGAAAGTTATTATAATGCTGTTAACGTGCTTCTCCCAGTGCGACCAGTGGTGATAAACGGGATCATACCTTCATGTTACAGTTAGCATGTTGACGTACGACGGCATTATCTGGGAGGCTCTCACGCTCTCTGTGGGTTTGGAAGGTGAGACCCTTGTCATTATCTCTCAATGCCGCTCTCTGATTTAAAAGGCAGTGTAATACCAGGATGATCCAACGAACTCCAGTGACGTGTGGAGGTTTATGCTAATGAGTCTACATGGCCACCCGCAGAGTCCTTGATCTTACGCACAATGTGACGCAGCAAATGTCATGGTGTTGTGACTCACAGACCCAATTTACATGCTCTTAAAATGTCTTAAATTAGAGTTATTGCAAAAAGCAACATTTTACATTCAAGTGTGGGTTAAGAGCATGACAATCCTGAATGCCACTTTCGCATCTTAAGCAGCTTTCTCGCAATAAGCGAGTATGTAAACAATACTGTTTGGTTTTGTGGACTTGTGTCTGTCCACAATTTTATCCTGGAGATGCCTTGCCACCCATAGTTGATTGTTTGCTTCAGTTGCACTACCAAGGACTGAAATGCTCCAGGAAAGCTCTTTTCATGCTGAGCTAATCGAAATGACCACAGCTGATCACAGTTGAAAGTAAAATGGCTTTGGGCCTCATTTATCAATCTAACGTAGAAACGAGCGCAGATCCGTGCGCACAAATCAACTTATGACAGAGTTCACGTGTGATTCATGAAACATTTGTATGCCGCCAATCTCATCGTACGAATGATCGCAATGTGGCGGCAGAAAACAATCGTAATTTGAATATCACGCCCCTAAAAACACCCCGGTTTAGAAGCCTCGCCCCTAGAGTTTACGACACGGAGAAACGAAACCAAAAAGAGGAAGTATTCTCATGAAAGAGAAACTGATCTTACTCCAAAAACACCCGTTAACCTTGTAATTGCAAACAATTAGGCTACATTAATTTATGTAATTTATATGTATATTAAAATACTGGTAAATATAAACAGCCTATTTAGTTCCCCTCACTCTACAACAAATATTTTAGAGTTAACTGTATTCAGAACAAGAACGAAAAATAAGTAGTTATAAAATTATATATTAAACTATAAAATAAAACACAAATTAGGCTGTAGTTGCATTCATTATAAACGGCATACAAATGTCAAGCAAAACTGAAACGGCATTGGGCTCACACACAAGAATCTAAATGTTTCCATTTTTGCCATATTTCTAACATTTGTTTGCATAACTATTATTCATTATGTCTCTGATTTAAAAGGCAGTGTAATACCAGGATGATCCAACGAACTCCAGTGACGTGTGGAGGTTTATGCTA